AGTTCATATTTTAGACTACTATACATTGTTCATTGTCTTAAAAACTTTATTATTGGTAGTACCTTTAATTTCCTTCCTATGGAACAGGATTAAAAGCTCTAGAATATATTGAACCACTTTTATTTTCTGTCTCAATTTGTCTGTAGTTTCAGTGAAGATGTTTTGACAGGAAGTGAAACCTCCCTAGGCCTGTAGCAGCCTGGAACTTAAACTATTCCTTGGCAGGAGATGCTGGGGAGAAACGGCTGGTTGTGTGAAACCTGTTCCTGATGGGGTCGAACGTGTAGCTCTTGACCCTCATTGCTAATCTGGACCATGATAGTTTGTGAGGGACTAAAAGGACGGGGAAACTGAGAAAAACTTAGTGTGAATTGTAAGAATATAGGAAGAACAGTGAAAGCAGAAAGAGACTGAATCGTCTACCCATTGGTTCACTTTCATTTCCAAATGTGAGACTCGAGGAAAGGGAGAGAATGATAAAGATCACTTCTAGGCAACAGGTGAAACTAGGAGGCTGGAACCCAATCTGTGTCCCGTGTTGGTTGTACGAATGTGAATACTTGAGCCATCTCCATTGCTTCCCAAGCTGTGTATTGGCAGGAAGCTAGATTTAGAAGCAGATCTGGGACTTGAACTCAGATACACCAAGTTGACATGCAGGTGTCGCAAGCAGCCAAATAGCATTTTTTTAAAAAATAAAGATTTGTCTGTTTGAAATTCAGATTTGGAGGAAAGGGGTAGAGGGTGAGACAGGGACCTTTTCCATCTGCTGGTTCACTCTTGGACTCGCACAGTAGCCAGAGCTGAGTAAGACTGAAGCCAGGAGCTGGGGAAATCTGAGGTCTCCCACAGGGCAGTATTCACTTCAGTCCTAACTGCTACCTCACCGGTTCTGCATTGGAAGACAATTGGGATTAGGACCTGGAGCATGTTGGAAAATTTTGATCACTAATTTTGTAAAGGGGAGACAAAATCAGTTAGTCTAGACCGATAAGTTTCCCCAGGTCCCTGTATATTTTGGACATGTAATCTGAAACCATGAGATGGCACTAGACTATTATCTTTTCTTGCTTTTTGAAAGATGTCCCCTTTCACTAATACAATGTTCTCAAATATAGCTATCTGAAAATCAGAAGTTCTAAAGTGGCATTTCTGCATAGTACTTTATGCATAACTGTTTACAAAGATTAGCAGGTACTGCATGTCAGTGCAAGTGCAGTGAAAGTTTCACAGGACTCAGTCACTGGAGACTGCTGGTGTAGTTCTTGACATGGGAGTGATATTCTGTAAAATACATATTGGGAAGCAAGATGTAAACAGATGTGTCCAAGCACAGATGTGAGAGTTCCTGTGTGAGTGGGATAATGCATATAGCATAGAACTGCAGGCTGGTTGTAAGGAACACATACAAGATTATATTTGTATTTAAATGTAACTTACGGCATTTCCACATTCTTTCTTCTTCGCTCTTCAGCCCCCACAACTTAGACGAAGATTGCCGATGTAAGAATGCCACATGCAGGAACAAATTTCCATCATTGGCTCAGTTGTGCTCACTCCCAAAAGAGGAGGTGAAAGTGGACTATGATTTAAATGACTTTTTTGATATGTTGGCTACTAAGAGAGAGGGAGAGAGAGAAACAAATGCATGATTGAGTATGCTGGTATCCTGCAAGCATTGGCTTATACTCCAGATGTCGCCAGTGGCCAGGGAGAAACTCTTTGCTTCCATGGTGTTGAACTTCTTGGCTTTGTTGTTCCTGTCTGGCTGGTCCTTAATAGTGTTGAATGTTCTTCCCTTGCTGCCATACAAGTTCAGGTTTTCACCTCTCTCTAGGTAATGTCCTTTAGTCATGTGGCCGTTTCTTTATGCTCTGCATTATGATAACCTCCAAATCTATTTTCTTTGGCTAAAACTTTACCACTTTGGTGATGTCACAGATGACTGCTCTGCACATAAATTTTGTCTTCAAATACATACATCAAGTTAAGCATTTCCATAGTTTTTCATAATCTCTACTTCCCAACTTTTTTTTTTTACTTCTTTCAGTACTTATGGTACTGGTACCACTATCCATCCAGAGTTTTCCTATTCAATGTCATTAAAAATTATTCCACTTCCATGGAGACTAAGTGGGATTCCTGTCTGTTGGCTTTGCCCTGGATTATCCGCAGGCATTGCCACTCACCCAGCTACTGTACGTTGTAACTTGAACTGGAGTTTCCTCTTTCCTGACTCCCTACTGTTGCCACCTCCTTTAATCTTTTCTGCATGTCAGTCATCTTTTAAAAATATCTGATTGATAATGATATTCATTGTAAACATTTTTGATAGCTTTCCACTGTACACTGGATTTCACGAAAAATTCCAGCTTCTTCACGGAGAGACCTTCTGCAGTCTCCCTTACGTCATCTTGTACAGCGTCCTCTTTGCTCACCAAGCTTTACCTGCATCATTCCATGTTGGAGAAGACAATGAGCAAGGGAGCTGAACAGGCTGTGCATCCCTGGGTCCTTCTCCTTGTTGACCCTACTGTCCTCTCCCTAGCGAGGCCCTTGCTGACTATGGGGATTGGGTTTTTACATCCACTACCTCTGCTCTGTTATTTGAGATTAGTCCTGGTTTGTGTTTACTTACATTCTGATTGTGAAACTCCAGATCTGAATGTTCATCAGTGTATAATCAGAAGACAGCCTATAGGAAAGTGCCCTATGAAAAACATTGTTGAATTAATTAATGAGTGAATTCTGAGCTTGCAGAATATCTTCAGATGTAAAGAGTCTATCTTGATTATATTCCTTTATGATAATTGATCTATATTTATTACAATGTCTTTTATTATAGTATGAATACAGCTGATGATTTCTGAGTAGTCATTGTTCCAACAAATACTGATTTCTGATAATGCTAGGGTACAGAGATGAATTATATGTAACTAATAATGGTAATAGACAAACATGATACTGCTATAGAGTAGTTATTACAGTTAAAAGTACTAAGTGCTGGTTCTTCAGGAGCACCAAGTTCAGAGTAGTTTTTTGGGGGGTGTGTGTGGTAGGTTTGGGTGTGGGAGCGGTGTGGCTCTGAATGGCCAGGCATGTGCTAAGTTCACCAGGCTGTTCAGTGGACGTTACAGAAGTGCATCCATACTGATGTGTACAGTATTGCAGTGGGAGCCAGATCTGAGAGAGCAAAATTTGATGCTAAGGTGCAAGACAACTCAGAACAAACTACCCACATCTGCTTGGGTCCTGGGTTTAGCAGGGAACATTGGAGGTGGCTGTGAATAGTGACTGCCCTTGGGAAGTGTCAGACTGAAGCTTAAGATGTGGTAGAATGGAGCCCAGCTGGCAAAGAACACCCTGTGCCATCCAAGAGAGTCCAAAAGGTTAAAAATGCTAACTCTGTGCGGTGTTGCCATTCTGGTGGCAATGCAAAGAAGTAGCTTGAAGGATATTGAGTCGGAGGCAAGTTTACAGTTGATCTGTGAGAGCCAATGAGGGGACTAGAAGCAGAGGGAGAGCGGGAAATAGGTTCATTGAATTTGAAAAGCACAGTGGCTCTTGGAAGAGAGAAGATGCCTCCAGACTTCTGCAACCTGAGCAATGGAGGAGCTGCTCAGTATTCTGGAGGGATCTGTGGAGGAGATTATGGAACTTGAGGTGACAGTTGGATACTTGTTCTCCATAGACAGGTGCAGTGCGTTCATGGTAACAGAGAACTGAGCCTGGAACTCAGGATTAAGAACTGAGTTAGAAATTAGAGCGATCCAAAACAGTTGGTGTCCTGACCATCACCACCAAGTGGGTAAGACACCACAGAGCGCCTGCAGTGGTAGCAACACAGCCGAGGGGGGAGTCAGCTTGGGAATATCCCAATTTACGGGAATGCTAGTGAAAGGAAAGTCTCTGAAGTCGGAGGTATAGGAAGACAGGGACGCTGACTTCAAAGAGAAGAATCTACTCAAAGGTGTCATGTCTGAGACAGTCGCATTAATGATGGAAAAATAATTGTACTTTTATTCATAGTTACAGACTTCAAACTTACCTCTTTTGAAAATATTTAATTTATTAAAAGTGAATGGAGGGCATGAGAATGTGCGGTTGGATTAATACAAACTGATCTTTACCTTTGAAAACTAAATTCGGTAATGAGTGTACTGGGAGGGATGTGTATTTTCAAATATACTCTCCCCTCTTTTAGAACATAAAGTTTAATTTTAAAACTCTGTTCGGTGTAATTTTATTACATAGTTAGCAAGCCTACAGTTTAGATTTGTTTCTAAAGGTCAAATAATTTCTAATAATGCTTGGTGAAGCACTTCAAAAAAGTTGGAGGAAAGTGGAATTAAAAGATCAGCTTATTTTAACACAGAAATTGAAATTCATACATAGCTTTTCATCATACCTGTTTTCCAAACTTTTTGAAGACCATCTCGCCTAAATGTTCCACCCAAAGGAAGATGTACACTCCAGTGAACCAGTGTACTTGGGCAGTCCCTGTCCAGTAGCTGGTTCAGCTTTAGTAGAGACACGCCAACCCAGTGCAAAAGGTGCTGCCAGAAGCATACAACTAAGCATCAGAGCCATTCATGCTTGTTTATTAAACTGTACAACAGACTTCAAACCTAAGCAGAGGGTTGTTTGGTGAATGTGGGATCTCAGCAGTCAGGATGGGCTGACAACTGTTTTCATGGTGAGGAGAAGTAAATTGCTATCTGCTACCTTCAGGATCATACTCCGAGTGCCCTAAGTAAAGGTCTTTGCTGGGTAAGGTGGTGTGCAGACATACAGGTGAATCAGTCTGTCTTCACTAAAGGTTCATCAGACTGAGGACAAATATCCTCTAAGGCCAGTGACAAATGCTTGACTATTTTTCCCCCTAAGGAAACTGGTATGAGGGCTGTGTAATGTCATGTGTGTTAGCACCTAGTCAGGTTGGTTGTAAATGGATTTTTAACCCCATCAAATACTATAACATTTTTTTTTTGATCCTGCAGATTCTCCTGAAAAGAGAACTGAATATTCATCAGTGAATCTAGAACATGGCCCTGTAAATCCTATCAAGAATGGAAAAACAAGTCTGGTATCTAAAGATCAGCGGACTGCAAAGAGGAGTTCAGAAAATTCATCACTCCAGGGTCCAGTGCAGAAGGGGAACGATGACTCTGAAAGTGATTTTGAATCCGATCCCCCTTCTCCGAAGAGCAGTGAAGAGGAAGAACAAGAGGAGGACGACGTCCAGGGAGAGCCAGGGGATTTTAATGATGATGATACTGAGCCAGAGAATCTGGGTCACAGACCTCTCCTTATGGATTCTGAGGATGAGGAAGAGGAGGAGAAGCACAGCTCCGATTCTGATTATGAGCAGGCAAAAGCAAAGTACAGCAGGCAGAACTTTGTCTGCAGAGACCAGTCTGGTGGTGGACCAACCCAAGACCCCAACACAGTGCTCCTCACTCCCACCCAGCTAACCTCAAGATCTGGGCCAGAGACTCCCAAACAGGAATTTGATGTATTTGGCGCTGTCCCCTTCTTTCCAGTGCATTCTCAGCCAGCCCTGGCAGGAAACAGTGAAAAGACCCTGTCTCAGCAGAGGATTCCTCCTGTGGGGCTAGAGCAGGAGGAATTCGATGTGTTTACGAAGGCACCCTTCAGCAAGAAGGTCAGCGTGCAAGGCTGCCACGAGCTGGGGCCCAAGGCGCACCCTCTCCCTGCTTGTCCCAAAAGTGTCGATGTATTTGGTTCCACTCCATTTCAGCCCTTTTCCACATCCACCAGTAAATGTGACAGCACTGAGGACCTTTTTGGGCTTGTGCCCTTTGAGGAAATCACTGGGAGTCAGCAGCAAAAAGTCAAACAGCGCAGTCTACAGAAACTGTCCTCTCGCCAAAGACGCACGAAGCAGGATATGTCCAAGAGTAACGGGAAGCGGCATCATGGCACGCCGACCAGCACCAAGAAGACCCTGAAGCCCACCTACCGCACCCCAGAGAGGGCTCGCAGGCACAAAAAAGTGGGCCGGCGAGACTCTCAAAGCAGCAATGAATTCCTCACCATCTCAGACTCCAAGGAGAATATCAGCGTAGCCATGACCGATGGGAAGGACAGGGGGACCGTCTTACAGCCTGAGGAGAGTCTGCTGGACCCCTTCGGGGCCAAGCCCTTCCCTCCTCCGGACCTGCCATGGCACCCTTCCCACCAGGGCCTGAGCGACATCCGTGATCACAATACTGTCCTGTCTGGGCGGCCAAGACAGAATTCACTACATGGGTCATTCCACAGTGCAGAGGCATTGAAAATGGATGACTTTGGTGCTGTGCCCTTTACAGAACTTGTGGTGCAAAGCACCACACCACATCAATCCCAACAGTCCCAACCAGTTGAATTAGACCCGTTTGGTGCTGCTCCGTTTCCTTCTAAACAGTAGATACGTCTCATGGACTTGGGGGGTTATTTTCTGTTTCATAAGAGTATGAATAATTTTATGAACTTGGAAGAAAATTTATTTGTATAGCTCTTTATATCATTCATTCTTACAGGTCAATTCAGAGTAGGTGATTTTTAAATAAACCAAATAGAAAAAGGAAGTATCTCCACTACAGGGTAGTAACTTGCCGCCTCTTCCAAGCAGGAGAAAAGGGAGCTTTTCTGAGCAGGGTCGGAGCGAGGTTAGTGCTGCTGATACCGCAGCACAGGAATGCAGCAAGTGTGGCAGAGGCACCTGCAGTGAGAGCATGCGACACGCATGCAGAGCCACTGAGAAGGGCCTGTCAAGTTAGAATGTCACTTGGGTGTGCACATCCCAGGCTCACTTGGGATCTAGCATTTCAGACTGGGGTTATTATTTGTGCATGTACAGGCTGTGTCTGTGGAGTCTTTGAAGGGAGGTGTCTTGTAAGTTCCACACAGTGAAAGATAATCCAGCTCTGTTTAAGGAGAAAAACATTATCTGGAGAGTGCAGAGATTTCAGCCCATATATCTTTCTTAAAGAAACAGAGCCAGAAGTAACTGACTATTGTGCCTAAAACTGTTTCATTTTGAAAACCAAGTGCCATTAATACAGAATAGCTAATGATAAGGAACATGTGAAGTAATCCATATGTTAATTAGTTCAATTTAGCCCTTCAACAACGTATGCTGTTGTACATGATAAATATATACAGTCTTCACTTACAAGTTAAAAATTAATGTACGGAATGTCTACATTGAAGAACAGGATACATATAGCGACTTCTGTAAAATGTCAAAGAAAATTAGAAGCAACACAGATTCAGTACTTAAGGAACATTGCACATGACTGGAAGGGCTGCCTGCCCTAGACTATTATCATGTCCTTAAAGAAGCATATTACTGGAAGCATTGGCAGTAAGGACAAGGCTTACAGAAATTTTACTTCAGGAAAGGAATTGGAATTTGGAGCACTAAATTTTTCAAACCATTTTTCAAACCTATACAATGTAAAGTTGCATTTACTAAAATACCTTATTCAGTGATCACCTTCACCAAATACTCCCCAATTAAGAGCCAACAATTACTTTGGTTAGGTTCGGAGGGCAGACTGGTTTAAACCAGATGCACAGAACTGTGCTGCTCACAACGCCTTACGGGCAGGACCCACACGTCCTGCTGCGCGCAGCTCCGCACCAAAGCCGCAGAGCTCATGGTGGCCACCTGGGGCTCGCCATGAGGGACTAGCATCTTACCTCTGCTAGCTGACTGTGCTGTCCGGGTAAAGGGCCCGCTACCAAACTGCCTTTTCTTTTTCAATACAACACATCTTAGTTTTAAATTTGCTATTTTTTTTAGCAATTGTTTTTGACAGAAATTATATATGTGGATTAATGTGAATGCAATATCATGTTTCCCGTGTCAATTATAAGTTACAGTTAACTGTCCCTTCCTGTCAGTTCAGCCTTGAGAAGTTTCCAAAGAGGGGTGGAAACTCATCACCTGACATTCTCCTTGATTTTAAGTTAACTCTGAACCCAATTAAAGTACATTTTGCGAATAATTTTGTCAGAGTTTCTGCATTCTAGTGCCCCACTAGGATAATCTGTTTCACATGTTTCGTACTTTTTTTTTCAATTGCTTTTCTCTTTTATGCTAAATCAGTATCAACCTGCGGCCAGCTGGGAAGCAGTACGTGAGTCACAGTGTGGCGTTGTGTTACTACTTAGAGTTACACCATTAGAGCTGGACTTGAGCAGGTACTTGGCCTTGCGCCAAATGCAACTATTACATTTGCACCTTTTTTCTTGCCCCTAATTCTCAGGTTAATACTGCTAATGCAAATGTTCATATAGGTGTTCTTCAAAACTTAATAGAGTAGATGTAAGTTAATACTTTCATTTATAAGTGATGAGTTGAGGATTACACAGTAAATTCATGAACTACATAGAGAATTGTATCAGACACTTTCTTTCCCCCTAAACAAAATCTTGTGTTTACCATGTGCTTTTTTGATTATTTAGTCCTTGGTCTCTGCTATAGCTCATGAGCTTCATCATGTAGAGAAGTAGTGGTTGAATGGAAAGGGCCTCCTCAGGGCATACGCATAAAGCACCAGAGTTTTATTTTTGAATACACTGAATAATTTTAAGGGACACAGATGCTGATAGAGACCCTTTGGTTTATAACATTGGATAAAAACTGAGGAAGCTATTCTTGACAAAGTTTAACACATTTACATTCTTTTATTGCAGTATAGCTTCATGACTTTCCTTTTTGAGATTGTTGCTTAGGAAAAGATTTCAGATGTGACTTGAGATCCAGTGGGATAAAAATGGAGGAGATTCCTTTGTGTTGAAGTAGAGGCATTTTCCCAATAAGTACAGATTTATCCTAGGATTTAACATAATTTCTGGTACACAGCACTCAACAGAAGTTTGGCTTCATTAAGGGACAGTCCATTTAAGGATGTGAAGTTCAGGGAAGAAAACCATTATTATTTGGGTGTGCCTCTGCTTCTGTGGATGTAAAGCAGTTGCAGCTCGAAACCTGTTATCCCTGAGCATCACTAAGGGAAGTAAACTACAAAATTAGCAAAAAGATGAGGCCAAATTTGTTCCTTAACAGCTTTAATAATGCTTGTTGATTTTGCATCATCTTCTTAAAAATGGACCATCTGCTAAATTATCTTAATTTAGCAGTTGGATAAAATGTTAATATTAAAAAGACCAGTTTTTGTGCCATTGAAGAATGTATCTGCTAAGACACAAAAATTGCTTTGTGTGTATTAGGTGGAGGAGGAGTGTGTTTTTTTGTTGGCTTGATGAAAATGTAACTATTTTCAGAAGCATAATCCCCTCATTCCAATTCTCAAAGTGTGACTGCACTTGGGTATGTTATGGTACGTGGGTTTGGAGATAGCTGCACCTTTCATTCCTACCTGGCTCACCGTTCAGCCGGTGAAAACTACCACATGGCACCCACTCTTCTGTGCTTTTCACAGAAGAGTATTTTTATTTTTCACCTACTCTGCTTGGTTTCCTTTAGATTTTGGTACTTCCCATAAACACTGTTAGAAGGTACAAGAATTAAGGTCACTGCTTCTGAAGAGTTTGGCTGTGTCTGTCATAGTATATGCAGAATGTACAGTGAGGTTGTCTCAACTTGTTTTTTCTTTAAGAACAAAATTACTCTTGTCATCTTAGGTCTAGTTATTGAGTTGACATTCTACTGTGAGAATGAGATGACATATCTACTGTGAGAAATAACATAAGTGATAGTTTATTTGAAACTTTTATACTTTGGTGTTTTATATATTTAGAATATATACACAACACGCATGTACGTGTCACATCTCTATTATGGAGTTAATGTGAATTTTAAAAAACAGAATTGCAACCACAATCATATCTCTTAAAGAACATTCACTCCTGGTGACAGTTTATGAAAGCCACTAAAAGAATAGGCAGATGAAAATGCAAAGGGTCATGACTTGGGGTTACCATGTTATTTTAAAATGTATAGTGCTACTTTGAAAGAGAATTGTTTATTACTATGCTCTTTTTATGACTGAAAGGTCATCAAGTAGTCAGTATAGAAGCTACTTTTTAATTGCTGGCAACAGCTTTAAGTGCACTTTCTTTAATTACACTTCCATTTTTTTTAAAAACTTGAATTTTCAGAAGCCTTTTATGTACCACTAAGCAAACAACTTTAACTTCAAATAGACCAGATTTACATCTTGATCATATTTCTGTTATAAAGCAAACTTGATAAAGTAACTTTGGTCCTCAAACAGCTGGGAAACTGTTAGAAACAGTTGTCCCCTCCCCCGTCTCTAATTAAGCACTAACTGATTTGATTACTGCTTTTACACTGCTTATTCTTTGATTGAATTCTGTCCCTGATTCACCTTTTGTTTGAAATATAAAATTATTTTCTTACTGTATTTATCATACCTACTGTTTTAATAATCTGCTTTCTTTAAATGCAATAAAACCCAAATGGATTGCATATTCTTTATAATCTATGGCTTTGGAGCTTTTTATTACTTGTCTGTTTTATTAAATGTTGTTTTGGATATAAATTTCTCCTTAGGTCTTTCATTCAAACCACACTTGCAAATATTACATACCAAGTTGTGGAATCAGAATATTTGCACCTTAGAATCTAAAAAAAGTTTTTAACCTAAAATCTTCGAGTAAGGATACTGACCGGAAGCACTTTTCAGCACTAACATTGCTGACACGCATAATGGGGATGTTAATAACAAAGGCATAGTTTTGAATTACCTTTTTAATAACTTAGTTGGCACAGTTATCACATCACAATTTATTTTGTAAACCTTTAGGACTGGTAGTACACAATTATAATTGTAAAAATAGGAAAGATGCTTTGGCATATTAACAAAAAACTTACTATTGATTTAGATGAACTAAGCTTGGGTCAGAGGGTCTCAACACTACATTTCATACACTGGAGTCTAGACTGGTGATTTGTGTCTAGGAAAGACACAAACATGATTCTTCTTATTTTTAAGGAATGAATTTTTTTGTTTATTGTTGGATGTAGTAATGTTTAAGTATGGTTACATTAAACCTAAGGGTGCTAAGCAGCAAAATATCACATGAATAGAAAAAACTCAAAAAAGTTTACAATGGGTCATTATTGAAATTCAGTTACAATTTTTTTTGAGAATGTATGCTACATTTTATAATATTTATTTTGAATTATCCCATTTTAAGAAAGTTCAGTGTAAGAATCATACACAGCAGTTAATATCCTTATAGTGAAAGTATGAACATTTATGCGTGGTTGCATATTAAGTCCCGTCAGGGTGTACTGTTGAGATTACAGGTAGCATAAGGTCGGATTTTGGTGCTGTGTTCACAAAGAAGACCAGAAACTCATTGGCTGTTGGCTTTAGCTCTCAAAGATAACTCTCCGTAAGAGACCCTTGTTACTGCCCTAACAGTACTACAAAAGGTTCATGGAAAAACATGGAATTAAAAGGTAAGTTTATGTTGGTGCAAAAAACTTGAAAGCTGCATATTTAAATACACATTTCCATGAATTCTGGAAGAGTCCTAGTATTTATCTTTCCTTCCAGATTTTAAAGGCAGCTTCAGTTTCAGATTATTATCTCACCACCCCCACTCTGAAGCCTTCGGGTTCAGGGACCCTTGGTTCTGAGCAGCACCCGCATCTCCTCTTTCAGCACAACCATACTTATTGTGATCATGCATGTACAGGTGCTTCTGGCCTCTCCCACAGACTGGCAGTGAGGGATTTGCCAGGAATTATAGCTTTACGTGCGCAGAGACTTCCTTAGATCAGTAACTGGCAGGAATTCAGGAGTGCAGGTTTTGCTGCTTGAAATTTAATACAGGGCAAAGTATCACACTAGCAGGTGCCTGCCAAATGGAGAATTTTGCCAGTCAATCACAATGTTCACATCAGATACTATGTCCAGGTAGGATGTTATAAGACATTATAATTATAGTCCATGAAACGTCATTCCAGATTCTAAACTACTGTCTTAAAGCTTTTATGTAAAGAATGACAAATAGCACTTGATATATTTAGTAAACCTATTTTATTTACATAATACATATTTTTTTCATGCAGCTTAATGAATTGCACTCAATGTAATAACAGACACTACCTTGCTATTTGAAATTGGCTTTAAAGAAGGAGATAACCATGTGTGAATTAAGCTACAATCCTGTAAATCACTATAGACAATTTAAAATAGACATAATTTTAAAACAGAGGGTGTGGCTAAACAGCTTTTACAGTTTACATATAAGTAAAATTAAAACCAATCTTTTTCAGTTTTGTAGCTGGATAGCATTCTTTTAATCTCATTTTAATAACTAAAAATACAAATAACTTAAATATACGTTATTACATGGCTCAGGTTTATATGCAATTAAATACTATTTAATGCCAACAATGTCTCAGAAATCTTACCAGTAGTGCTGCGCACACAGTAGGTGGTCAACAAAGGTGAATATGTAGAGAAGTGTTTACAGTTTGACAGGAATCAACTGATTCATTTTCTACTTCACAATAAATATATATCATCGTAAAGATAAAAATGAGAGTAAAGTCTTCTTAAAATCATTTTCATAAACAGCTGCAATGTTTACATGACATAATTCTCTCTACAGTGAGACCAAACATGTTTTAAATTCAAAGAAAGCTGTCAAAAAATACAGTATATCTTATGTGTTAAATTCAAATGCCAAATATTAAATCAATACATAACAAAAATAGGAATTTAAAAAACAAAAGCCAAAGTTTTTTTTTTAAATTCGGAAGAGATTTTATAATAAAAAATGGTTCCATACCCAAATAACTGGACTCTCCCTTTATTAACCTGAGTGTGACTACTCAGTATTATTTTGTTTGGCTAAAATGTCAATTTAAAAGTAAGCCAAATACAGGATGTCTTACTGGAAATAATACCCTACGCTGTTAGACCAAAATCTTTTACCACCTAGCAAATACACCAAATTTGTGGCTTTACAAAGTAAATAACCAGCTTAGAGTAGCATTCCATCCTACGAATGAGTGTGACGGAAGTGCCCCAACTGAACCCCTGCGGGAAAGTTCTCCTTGTGGTGATACTAGCATAGCAGGGCAATGTTTAACACTATATTGGAAAGAAACATTTTACAGATACATAAACTGAGGCACATTCAAGCAGCTTTCCTGTGCAAAGCATTCTGGGAGTAAGCTTCACCAGCTTCAACTTTTGTTTTTGATAGTAATTGGGTTCTGATACTATTTTATATTCCAATGAGAAACCTAAGTTTTTATGAATGTTTTTAAGAAATTTAATTAATGCATATGAAAATACCAAACCAAAGGAGGGGGTCGAGAGACCTACAAAGTATATGCAAAAATGGACGAGGGTTAATGCTTCAGTTCCAAGTATTAGTGTTTCTCGGGGTTGTGTGAGTGTGATGCTAAATACATGCACAAACATGAATGATCCCATCAGCCACTGCGCATCTGCGCATCTGTTCAGGCCGGAACAGGCACATCCATGTCAAGGCGTGGCTGTCTACACAGATCCAATGGGATCTACAGATGCCATATAGCTGGGAATCCCCATCATCAAGAAATTCAGAAATACAAATTCTGAAAAATGAAAGGTTTTCTGGCATTGGGATCAAAAATTTCTGCAGTCAACGTGCAATTAAATTATTATTTGGAATTACATGGTATCTAGAAATTAGAAGTCTTGGAGCCCAAAGACTTGATAGAATCTGTTGCCTAATTATGTAATTAGTTTCTAATGTGATGTTTATCTGAGAAAATGACAATGCAAGTGTCTTTCCTTTTCTTAATATCCTTCCAAAAGGAGTAGAAATTCAGTTTTGGTTCTGGAAGCTGGAAAACTTCACTGTTGCTAGGGAGCAGAGAACTTCTAGCTAAAGGCAGCAATCTCTCAAGTGCCAGTTGCTGACAGAGTATGTGTTGACTGGCTAGTGATTATACAGAATCAGTCTCGTAGCTTGTATGAATACTAAGCATAGGCTGTAACAAACCTTGCTTGGATTAGGCACTTAAATTTGACAATTTACCGAAAATATCTTCTATGTAAGTAATCACACAGGATGTCTCCATTTTCTAATGGAAATGAGCCCTTCCTAAGGAAATTAAGCTGGTGTGAAGGAAAATAAACCCTATTTCTCCACTGGCTTCACATTCACTGTGCAGGTGTCTCTTATGATTGCCATCTAGACATCACTTTCTGTATAAACAGCAGATTATTAAGTTTTCAGAGTCCATACAGCAGTTATTACTACACAGATACTCAAGGATATATTTCTGTTTTTATAAAGCATTACTCATGATGTATCAAACAAGAGGAAAAACAAAAAGTAATGGGAACCTTAGAAACAGCGGGGTATATAATTCCCCATTACATATTGCTTAACAATTGAATTCACCAGGTAGCCATACCTGAATTCATAAATGTGAAACATGGTCAGGACAAGGCTTGCTATGTCTATACTGCATGACATACACTGTTGACTGATGCCACCAGTATAACATCACTACTGCAAGGACATGCCATATCTGGTGGCTTGATCCGAGGTAGTTCAGTTGTCCTGGAAGGGAATGCAGAAAGCAAACAAAATCATTTGTAACAGTTTCACATTAAAAGAAAAATACATTGCTGTCTAGCAAGTAACTGCAGAAATTTTTTGGTAGTTTCTGAGTACCTGGAGACATTTGGGTCTGAGTGTTTTCAAAAAAGGATAAATTCATATTGGCTCTAATTTTAAGGTTTTAGTTGTTAATGACAAAAGTAAATTTTAATATTCAAATTATGCTTTCAAAAACTCAAAGTTTATTAATTTCAGGAACTTGACCTTTTGCTTCTCATTTCTTAACTCATGACAGAGTGAGAAACTTTATGAGTGAGATGCAAAAGACACTAGTGTTTCCTAAATCTTGCGGCAATTTAGGCATCAATCTGCAAGCAGCAGATGTATTCAGATAGAAGAGATGAAGCTGACTGAAACGCTTATTTCAAGTAGGTGTGCATGGAGAAAGTCAAGGTGTGACTAATGAAAGAATCCATAAACTAGTATATAGTTAGTAATGGGGTAATTAACTAAGGTGGATAATTTTGCATATACAACCTCAGCAACAATCTCCCTGTGGCTAAACATAAAGTTCCAAACAGTTAAGTAGTAAGTGGGAAGCTGGTTGACTTGTTGAATAAACAGTTGGACTCCAGGGCTAACGACCCTCAAAAAGCAAATCCATGCTTCACAGACTGCAGTTTACCTACGGTCCTCTTAGTTACTTCCTATCAGATCTTTAAACATTTTTTTCATCCTGGAGCAAAGGAAAGCAAGCCCCACTTGTGTTGAGTGACTGGTTGTAATTTTTTTCATCCTGGAGCAAAGGAAAGCAAGCCCCACTTGTGTTGAGTGACTGGTTGTAATTTTTTTCATCCTGGAGCAAAGGAAAGAAAGCCCCACTTGTGTTGAGTGACTGGTTGTATCTCAGGGACCTGCGCAGATGATTAACTTTTGCTATTTTCTTCTTAGTGCTGGGTGCCAGAAAGCTGAAATCTATTTTATAGAACCTTACAATGTATACATAGTAGCCCCCCTCCTTTTCTGCTTATATTTTTCCAGTAAATGTCTGAAAGGGTTGATAGTTTTCAATATACATACATATATACTGGTTTTTCACACACACATACCAATGGCAAAGTTTAATTTGTAATTAGGCATAGTAAGATATAACACTAGGGCAGAAGTAATACAGCTATGTGAATGTGGTCACTTTCTCTCTTGAGTCAAGCCAGATACTATAAAACTACAGTATCTGTGTCCACACTTCAATTAAACAGAGGTAGCTGAAGTATCAGTAGTTAAAATGGCAGATTAGGGCAAGGGGGTTACTGTGAAGAGCTCCTAAAGCTCGCGTCTTTTTATTAGCTTCCTTTGTCTCTTTCATTCTCTTACTTTTTGCATTGTGTACCTCGGCCTATAAAAAGTGCTTCTGAAGAACCAGTTGATATAAAAGGACATGTAAGAAAGGGAATGGTATTTCATATTCAGAGCTCTACTCTTTGAAAAGAACAAAGGCTGGGATACAGAAGATTTTCAGGATCCAATGCCAGTCTGGTCATTGGTTCCTAACCATGGGTGGTGGCAACCTCACATACCACATGCAACTCAGTAGATGGAAGTCCTTTGAAAGCTGTAGTTTTAGATGATGTCTGCGAACAGAAGGACCCTTCTGTAATCAATAACACTGAAAAGTCTGTCTGCATGCACTGAACCATTTACCTAAAACATTATTTAGAATAAAGCTGCAGGACCACCTGAAAGAAACACTTACCTGGAAAGTACCGTTCTGGCACTTTGGAAATGTAGAAGAGGAAAGCAAGGAGAGCAATTATATACATCACAAGTACACGAGGTGCAAAGTCCTGAAAAGCAAAACAAAACATGGTGTTCCACTGATACTACTACTGTTATCAGATTCCCAGTTTATTACTAATGTTGTGGTGAAAGCTCAGGGCTAAGTCTGAATTATTCTGATGGAAACTATACAGTCCTAAAGAACACACATCAGGGAATATCCTAAAGGTTAATCTAAAATACGTAGAGGAAGCGAGTTATCAGAATAAGCAGAGATGAAAAACCATGGCAGTTAGGTGCACAGCAGCAAACTGTTGTGCTAGCCCAGATGAACAGTACTCTTGCATACTACTACAAGAGGCACTCCACCTCGCTGATGATCACCTGCTGGAAAGGTTTTCCCAACCCTGAGGAATCAGCCAGTTACGCTTTGTACATCCAAGGATGCTTCAAAAGTTTGTGGAGGACGGAGTTCAATGTAACATTTTTTGGCACAAAAAATTTTGAAGTCATATGAATGAGAGATTTTCAAATTAGCTTATGAAAAGTGTATAGTATGGAAAAGCTCTACAGGGTTTTAAAAATTGTTTTGTACCTAAGTAGGTGTGTTTTAAAACAATACTAGTTGTTTTTTCAAAGTATTTAATTTCATTTTATCTGAATGGCAGAGGAACAAAGAGAAACAGAAACATCTTCCATCCACTGGTTCAGTCCAACAATGTGTACAGCAGGTGGATATGAGCAAGACGAAGCTAGCAGCTGGGAACTCTAGCTGGGCTTTCTGCATAGCTGGAAGGGACCCAACGACTACAGCTATTATTTGTTGCCTCCAAAAGTACACACTGGCAGGAGCAGGTGGAATGGGGAGCAGAACAGATCTGAATTCCAGCACTCCAATATAGCGTGAGGGTGTTCAAGCAGGGTCTTAGCAGCTAACTTAAGTGCCTGCACCTAAACTTGTCTTTTAACTTCATCTTCCCATAAACCTTGGATATGAATTCCACCTCTGAGAGTCACTGTCTTTCCAAGGCCATACTTCTCTTTTAAGGCTTCTGATCATGGAGATCCTTTACAGTCCACTAGCCTAACAGATCTTGTTCTTGGTCATCACATGCTTGGAAGAGATACAAGTCACAACGTACAAAATTCCGTACCTTTTATTTCAACAGTCGGTTATTGATTTCTGGTGAGAACGGAACTAAATGGCAGCTGCCCAATCTATTTTCTTCCTTTATTTCCAGGGGATTACAATGTTTAAGGTAGCAGGATCACTGACATCCCTCATCACTGTCTCACCTTTTTTCCAATGTCCTTTACGAAGAAAGCATCACCTTTGTCGTCACACTGTCACTTCATACTTCCCTTATGCTGTCACCGTCATCACGCTGGTGAATGTAAGCCTACTAACACTCCCTCTTCTTCCAATAAAATCTAATTCTTTGAGATAAAGCCAGCCTTTAAAGCCACACATTCCAGATCAAAGTTCCACTGTAACAAGTGAATGTGACTAAGCCTAAGCCTGATTTCTAATCTGAAGAACACTGAGATCTCACCACTGTTCTTCCTCAGGCACAAGTGTTTCCCCATAACACCTAACCCTACCAGCTCTTCTTCAATTTCTCAATATATTTTCTTTGGCAGATTAGATATATCTCCCTGTATGATATCCAAATCTTTATCATCATTCTCAAACGCTGGCCTAAATTCCAGTCCCTACCTTTATAATCCACATATACCCAAACTGAACAGGTCCAGCAGAAAACCACAAAAAAATCCTTGCTAATCACTCTATGTCTCTAGATCTTATCCTCATTGATCTCAACACTGCCCAGCAGACAGAACAGGAAACCGTGGGATCTTCCTTTACAAATCAGGACCACGGATTCATATAGCACTATGCAGCACTAAGAATATGTTATGGCAGAGAATATATCTCAGAAAAAAACAGCAGTCACTTTACCACTATTTTTGTAAAGTATACAACTATAGACATGAAAAAAATTATGAGTTCACCATGCAGTTACAAACATACTTACTAAGGTCAAAAGCCAGCTACTTCATAACACTCTACAAAAAGAAATAAAACTGAAAGGCAAAAAACACACACACACACAAAGTACTGCCTACGCTTGACTTACCTGTACAATGGGAGCACCAATGCCTCCATTGAGCCAAACCCAATGAAGAGTAGGAATCACTCCATATCCCGAAACAGAACAGAAGATGATAGAACGGAGCCTCTGCCATTGCTGTGTGAGGTAATTAGGATGAATCTGTGCAAAGAACACTGCCAGGATCATGGCCAGCACTGTGATCAAGTACACTTGGCGCCAATACTAAAATAATAAAGAAATCACAATTTTATTCTATTATTACAATAAGGGAAAGAGTAATTCTGTCCTCTAGATCACACACTCCAAATGTGATTGTCCTACTTGCTGAAAAAAATTATGTTCCAGACAACTGGTAGTTCCTTAGGATGATAAACTAAATTATGCAGTGAGTGGTACAAGGTCACATTTATTCATGCAAAAGCATTCTCCGAGTACCTGTTATCTTCCCGTCACAGCTGTAAGCCATCTAGAGACAAAGCTAACTAGGCCACGGGCTGTCCCAGTGAGCTCAGAAGACTGTGGGAGAGCAAATATGTAAATAGATAACTATCATCTAGTGATATGTGCCTTAACTTAGCTGTGAAGAGAATGTTGCAGCACTACAGGAAAGAAAACAGTTGACTTAGTATAGCTTGAAAGATGCTTCACAGGAAGGATGACATCTAAACCAGGTCTGGAGAGATTGTGTGGTGAGAGACCTCTCAAGGAACAGGAACCAGACACAGCAGGGCAGTGGTGAGGAGAGACTGAGGAAGCAGGCATACAGCAGTGAGGGAACAAGATTACTTTAAAAAGGAGATGATACAACATTTTTAAAAATGATTTTTCAGAAAGAAAACTGAAGGATGTCAGTGGAGTCATCATGGAGACAGGCAGCCATACAGTCATTTTATAAACTGACTTTTTACAGAGGTAACTGACTGGTATCAGTGCTGACAGCCAGCCAGCTAGGAAGGTGTCAGAAGGTTCCTTCCAGCAGGGACGAGGGGCTTGGACTCCTTGTCAAGGCGGATGTGAGAACAAGGTGCAGGAGGCATTTCTAACACAGATTACAGTCTCCAGGCAGACTGCATGGCACAGGGGCGAGAGGAAGCTCAGCTGTTTCCTGTTGAATGTCCCTCTCAGCAGCTTCTACTACAGAAGCAAATAAGCCAACCTGATGGAGGCCTGGCATTGTGGGGGGAGGGTAGAAGGTGTAAGAATGCTTACTTCAGAATAGGTTGAGTTTGAAGGGACTGTGGGATATTCAAGCATTGAAATCTATAGCTGAAAGGCTGGTCTCACAGCTCATAAGCTAGCAATATAAGGGACAAGAATTCATAACCTGGCCTCCAAGGACTTGTGCGAGCCAGTTAACTTCATCAAATGGCATGTTACGATGGGTTAGGTATGTGCCCAAATGTACAGTCTCTGTGACAGAAAGGCCACTTTTCAAGCTCATCCAGAAAGCAATCTGTGTTCCTTAGAAGCTAAAACACCCACAATAGCAATGGGATTTTGGAAACAATTAGAAAACCAGAAGGAAGAAAATGGACTGTATACTGTATGAACCATAACAGCTCCAGGAACTCCCTCTTTGCTCTCTCTCTCAGACTTCCGATTTTCTGATAAGAGTGTTACAAAGTATCCCAACGTGCTTTGGGAAGAGGTAAACAATGAACAACTTCAGAGAAATACAGAACAATTCCAAACTGCATGACTACACTGAGAACTGCATTTACCTTCTGAGCTTTTTTCTTTTCCCAAAGAGTTTTAACTTTCATACAAAATAAGTAAGTCAGGAAAGCTGCAGAAGGCACTCATAAAATTCAATTAATAAGTCAAAATATAAGTGCATTTATTATATGCTTGTGTCCCCAAATTATTAGGCCTTAAAAAAAACTCAAATGGGTCATGTTTAAATGGCTACAGTTTAAAAAATGCTCTTATACATTCAAACTCAATTTTTAACTTTTCTTTTTGCTGATTTTGCAAACTAGCTATGTTGCCAGTTTTCTCTTATTGAGTAGAAACACAGATCTTATTTAAAAATCCCAAACAGAGCAATCTTGTGCTGCAGACAAGTTTCCCTGCAAGTGAAGGCTGGGGACTGTGTGGCTTACAGCACCTGCGAGGGGCGTGGGAGCTGGGGGTACAGGAGCAGGGAACGGTCGGCTCTACTTATAACTACGATTAGAAGCAATTAGTAGGTAAGCTGTTTCTAAAAAGCAAGCTCTGTTTTGGTTCTGAAAGGGAGGCAAAGAACAAAGGAAAAAAACCAAGAACACGCAGAACAGGAGGAAAAGGGCAGGGTTGAAGGGGACTTTCTGAAGGGGAAAGCTTGAGATGCACTGAGCCCAAGGGATTTATTTGCCTTCTTTCCTGCAACATGTGATGACACACAGGTGAAAGGTTCTATACGCTAACATTTGGTGAGTCAAATGTTAGCTCAGGTGCTGTGTTATCTGGTCACCGTGTCACAAATGCCGCTTTACACAGGGGGAAAAAGTAGCTTTTGTGACATCAGGGACAGAGAGCAGAGCTGAACTCAGGACAGATGTATCTTATTTTGATATCTGCTAAAGACATACCCATATGGTCTTTCTCTAGCCTATTCTCATATGTAGGGATGAGAAAAGGAGAACATATTTGCTACATAAAAAGTTGGGTGTACACTCTCACAAATCTAACAAAGTTCCCCTCTATCTCCACACCCCCGCAAAAGTGGAGTTAAGGATTAGAAGGGAAATGGAAAATAGCAGCCAATTTCATAATCTCAACTAGTGCTAACTTTAACTTTAATCATGTAAACACAAAAATAAGATTTGTGGCTGAGGAGCCATATAACTATATGGAGTTACTAGAAAAGTAATTAAATATTTATAGCAATGTCTACATTAAATTTCATACAATAACTTGAAATATTCTTTCAATCAAAAAACAGTAAAATAAATATTGAAAATAAACAGATGTTAGAGACCACAGGGCCCTTTTGAAAAATAAATTTATGCCTCCATAAGACTTTCTTAATATTATACTATTCAAAAATTCGAAGGAAAAGTGGTAGGAAAGCTTGGAACCTATATGAAAGTTGGAATGTGAAATGTCTTAAAGTACTTACATTATTACAATAAAACGCATAAAATACTCCTGAGACATAGCATCCCAGTATTCCAATAGAAATTCCTGCATAATCTAACGCCATCCATCTTCGACAGGTTTTTTCTGATCTATGGCAGGAGAAAAGGTGATAGCCCACAGAGCAAAGCATACAAACCTAAAAGAAACAGAAAACAAATATTAACAAACTGAAAGAGAAAGAAATAAAAGCAATTCATGCATGATGTTCAGGAAGTGGTTAGGATAAGGCCCAGGCTTTCAAGTAGAAGGCACCTGTGTTTTACAGTGGAGGAAGCCGTGCTATTTCTCTTAGCCACCATTTCTTCATGGGTAAAGTAGGGATGATAATCATAAGGAATCAAATGGAAAAGGAAACCAATTTTACAATATAAAAATCTTAAGTAATGTTTATTTTCTAGTGGAAAAAGAACTCAGTGCACATAATTTAAAAATGTTGTCCAGGCTTATTTTGATCCAAGAAAGAGTTTACTTTAAAAAACATACTTAGCACTTGAGAGTATGGGAGTGGGGGCTGTAGGTGGACCAGGCTGGGCAAGCATGAAGTGCCTGTTGGCATGTGTGTGGGATGGGTCTGGGGGTGGGTCAAACTGGGCTAGGCTTTAGCACCTGCAAGTGCTTGCAACAGGCAGAAAGGGTGTGGGACAGGCTGGGCTAGGCTGCGGTGCCCACGAGGTCACATGAGAGCAGGATCTAGGGGTGGGCAGGTTGTCGCACCCTCTGGAGAGAACTGGAATGGGTGCAGGGCAGATGGCTACACTATAGTACCCACCAATAAGTGCCAAGACTAGGAACTGGCCACTTTAGGCTGGACTGCAGCACTGCTGTCACACACAAGCTACAGGGCTGGGAAAAGGCCTGATAGGGGAACTTGGCGAATTTCATTGCTAGGCTGCAGAGCTCCTGCTGGGGGCAAGTCAGGCCAGGCTAAGCTGTAGCACCCAGTCAGCATGTATGGACCAGGTCTGGAAATGGCGCAGGCTAGGGGCAGTCCATTATACACACTGGCACAAGCGAGAGCCAGAATGGGGTGTAGGCTAGGCTAGGCTGGACTGTAACACCTACTAGTTCACTTGAAGGTGGGCCAGGTTGAGTTGGTCTGCACCACCGGCTGGCAAATACCGACACTGTGGGTGGATCAGGTAAGACTGGGTCGCCCTGACTAGGCTGTGGCACCCCATGGTATGCGTGAAGACCGGGTCTGTGGTAGGCTAGGCTGGGCTAGTCCACAGCACCTGTTGGCTTGTGTGAGAGATGGGACTGGGGGTAGAACTGACCAGGCAGTTGCATTCACTGGCACAGGCACTGGCTGGTAGAGGAACACACCAATCCTGACCTTGCACTGGCTGGTGCATATAAAAGTCAAGTCTTGAGGTCACCCTAGGTGAGGCTTCTTGGCAGACCCCTCAACTTGACTGCTGAACTGAATCCCTAGCACCAGGAGGAAAAAAACACAAAATATGTGGTCTGATTTTGTAGTTATGTGCTGGGACTGGACATCCTCAGTTGCTGATGCCTTTGCAGTGAACAGCATGCCCAAATGCACATGGGAGACATGACAGCAGGCTCATCTAGGTCAACACAGGACACTAAGTGCGTTATCAGAGCAAGAAAATCAGAACAAGTTGGATCATTCTCCTGGCCAAGCTTTGCAACATGTTCTGAGTCTGCGGATGCACTAAGATAGACTCGGTCAGCCAACTGATGTTGGAAAGATTTCTTTAATCCTGGAGCAATGAAGCCGGGTCTCTGAGGTGTCATCAAATGAGAAAAAAGAAAAACTGAAAAATTTGTCCCACGTGCCTTTCTCCATATCTTAATCCTTCCCACTGTAATCTGAGGCCCACATGGGCATGCATTCTTCTCAGCTATTTAAATAATATTAAAAAGAATATTTTAAATGTATTTAGGGTTCAAGAACTTACATTACACACAATTGTACAATGTTAAAAATGCAAGCCCTCCCCACTCAGTCAATTCTCAGGGGCAGGTACTGACAATATAATGTGTCCTTCCAGATATTTTCAACACATTTGTCAAATATTTGTGATAGAAGAGTCTACACACACACTTGAAATATATACTTTCTTTATCAAATGGAATCATCACACTATGTATTTTGTTCTTCAATTTATTTTTCTCACGTAAGACCTTTCACAGAGCTTTACTGTCTCCAAGACAGAGTAATCATGAGCTGATCATCTGTGTTGTAGTCAAGAGAAAAGTCAATCTGATTCTAACAAACAATAAGCCTTGCAGCCAGTAAGTATCTGCTGCATGTCACGCACTGGAGGGGAAGACAAAGATCTGACAAAAGCAAATGAAAAAAAAAAAATGTTACAAGAAGTGCTATAGGATAAGTCAGTGCAGGGTACTAGAAAACCAAATCAAGGAGGGCAGGCACTTTCTCTGTAGTTGTATGTGTGTATCTGAGGGTGGGGCCAGTAAGAGAAAAGGAACACCATAGAAGAACTGTCAACTGGGGTGGATATTAAGGTTCAACTAGCGTTCATCAAACATGAAAAAGCTATGCTCCGGGTTTCTGAGGGGTCACAGGGGAAAGCAGCATACTGAAAAATATAGAACTATTAAAGAAGGACATCTGGGCTTCTTTATGACAGTTATATCACAAATCCTGTACATGAAAGGCTTTTACCAGCATTATGGGCTGGGGATACTACTGAAGAGTATAAGTGTGCGGACTAGAAAGACTAAGATGAAAGGTTATAGCAGTAGTCCTGGGGAACAATGAGAAGTGACACTGGGTATGAAGCAAAGGAGACAAACTAATAAACATTTTATAAGCACCTGCTAATTGTAAAAGGGCCTCCAGTTATTTTGCATCCTGATCATTAACTATCAAGCTTAACCAGTTCCCGCAGGCTCAGTGTCAATGGTCAATAACAAGACACTTAGCCCCAATTTCACTCTGAAGTTGTGTGGCTTTTGGATACTATGCTGCCAGGGTTTGTTGGCCCAAATATACATGACTATGAATCTTGGTTATCTGTCTTCTCAGATTATCTTTGGGGGTTACCCACCGTAAATCTAGAAAACACAGAGGTATACTCAATGTGGGGGCAGGATCTGAGGACCAGTGATATAGAGCAGGTTTGAAAAGAGCAAGCAGAGACGCCTGGACCTTGGAGGCAGGGAGACGGCTATGAAGGTAGACTGCCAAGTGTGAGGTAACCACGTAGAAAAAACGTGTAGAGGGATCTGCACCCAAATGTCCCAATGTGGTTACCTCTGGGCAGTAAAACACCAAGTGATTTACTTCTTCCTCAAAGTTGTCTGCTTGTATTTCCACATAAATAATAAGGCTTATTTTACTGTGAAAAAGAAAAGGAAAAACTATGGTATCACAGGAGAATAGTGTTAGTGGAGAACCCTATGCCTTAAAGGAAGTAAACTAGTACTTAATGAGTTCTGATTTTTTTTTTAAGATTCATCTATTTCTTTTTTTTTTTTTTTTTTTTTTTATTTTTTTTTTTTTATTATTTTCTCATTGGAAAGGCGGATATACAGAGAGGAGATACAGAGAGGAAGATCTTCCGTCCGATGATTCACTCCCCAAGTGAGCCGCAACGGCCGATACTATGCCGATCCGAAGCCAGGAGCCTCTTCAGGGTCTCCCACGCGGGTGCAGGGTCCCAAAGCTTTGGGCCGTCCTCGACTGCTTTCCCAGGCCACAGGCAGGGAGCTGGAAGGGAAGCGGGGCTGCCGGGATTAGAACCGGCGCCCATATGGGATCCCGGGCGTGCAAGGCGAGGACTTAACCACTTGCGCCACCGCGCCGGGCCCAGATTCATCTATTTCTATTGGAAAGTCAGATCTATAGAGGGAAGGAAAGAAAGAGACTCCATCCACTGATACACTCCCCAAGTGGTCACAACGGTTGTAGCTGAGCTGATCCAAAGCCAGGAGCTTTGTCTGGGTCTCCTCCGAGGGTGCAGGGTCCTAAGGCTTGGGCCATCCTCCACTGCCCTCCCATGCCATAAACAGAGTGGGAAGTGGGGTAGCCAGGACACAAATTGGTGCCCACATGGGATCCTGGCACATGCAAGGCGAGAACTTTAGGCTACTATACAGGGCCCAATATATCTGATTAAAAATGAATGTGTTACTGCAAGAGTTTTTTTGAAAAATTAAAAAAAAAAATCCAAGAAACTGAATGTTTCAGTTATGGTGAAAATTTTCCTTCTATGGAAAATCTCATTTGATCAAGGAAGTCAGTGTTACATCCCCTTTGGCTTGATAAGAAAACACATCAGGATCTGATCCTTCGCTATGTCTGTCTCAGCTTGCTATATTCTCCTGAGATTCAACCTCAAGCACCCAAAATATGTGCCCATCCAAAGAACGCTAATTACATTCTGCCACTCAAAGTATATTAATCTGCTTGGGAGGACAGCACTGAGCAGAAAGAATGAGTAGGAAAGAAAAAAAGTTATGTGTTTCAAGAATTAAATATAAATGCAATGTTACTAATTATAATTATGATTTACTATGCTGCTGTTGACCCTAAGAATTTGGGAAAATGTGGGTAAATCACAATTTTTTCAAAAGAAAAATAAGAAATCTCCTTAAATAGCCCAGGTGAGCTCATCTGTCTTTATCAAGTTGTATAGTATGTATAAGGTGGCTGCATTAGCAGTGAAGAAAGCAGGATCTTAAGGTCCTGCTGCACAGCCCCAGAAAGGTCACTATGGCTTTGGGCTGCTTTTTCATTGGCAACTGTTCAGACATTCTAGTTTTACAATTCATTATTTCTTAGGTAAATAAGGAAACTAATGTTTCCTCACCTTGCATGAACTGTGGTAGGAAATGAAGGAATAGAGGGAAGGTGTAGCATAGATGAGAAATCTTCGGAACAATTCTTAAGTATACACTGCTGTTTCACTTCATCAAGAATACAATCACGTTCAAATTCTCAAGTTACTCTTAGAAATTCTTGGTAATGCTAAGAAAGTAAATCTTAGTAGCCAAGCGAATGGGGAAGATAATGATGCGTTGTTGACTGGCTGCTGGGGAACAGGTTTGCTGTGCATGTTCTGAAAACATTAACACTATGTCAATTCTGATGTGCTGTTTGGGAATACTGTTCTTTTGTCATATTTATGATTACTCTGACAGGACCATACTTCCAGGCCCATGATTTATGCACTCAATAGCAAATAAATGCTGTGTGATTAAAAAAAAAAAGTTAAACAATTAAAAGAAACAAACAAAAAAAAACAAACAAAATCTGCAGAATTTACTGAATTTCAAATATGCTTTTATAACAATATCCAAACAAACTCCTATAATAACAGCCTTTTTTGGTGCTTACGATAGCAAATAAGTTGAACCAGGTGCCCTCTGCTTATGAAAGTGCTCTTGACCAACAACAGTGTCTGTGAAATAACTTACCTGGAAGCAGAAAAGACAAATAGAGCAAATCACAAAATCTTCTCTGGATGCACTTGCAGAAGGTAACACAGATGTCATGTCATAGATGCCCAGTGTGAAGAAGAGAAAGAAACCCAGCAAATGACTCCAGATGTTAACCGTCTCATTAGACAGAATAAACAAGCTGCAAAAGTAAACAAACATGCAGATCAGATTCCCACTGGTTGTTAACACTCAAAAGTTCAGGACAACTTTGGGGAGTTACCTACTACTTGTTCTACGCCCTGAACCTCACCTGCACCTTTCAGCATTTTATCATTTAATTATCATTTCCCTGAACCTCACCTGCACCTTTCAGCATTTTATCATTTAATTATCATTTAAGTCTTTCCACACCCCACCCACCATGAGATCTTAAGGTTGTTGTTCTGTTTTTGTTTTTGCCTCAACTCACCATGTTATCCTGTCTGTGTGGCAGTATCTGTGCATAGTTTCCCATGTTACCTGTCAACTCCCTGCCAGCCACAAACATTCCTCTTTGTAACACTGGTGACCAAGCACAGCATCTTGCTAAGATTATTCTCCAAATATCTATGGCAATGAATGTGCAGGGGAAACCTGACGTTAGAATAATGGTTTGAAAATATTAGGCATCTGGGAAGCTGCTCAACGCAAAGTTAGACTCAGTCTTAAAATAGTTTTAGTAAGTACTTATCCAAATGCCAAGTTACATGGACTGCAAAAAAGCAGAATAAGGACTATTAGTATGAGCACCAAGGACTACATCCCAACCGCCAAGGACACCACAGGGAATAGGAGTGCCTTCGGAGGCCGAGAACTCTGAGGTCACCCACCCCCATTTGGATCTACCACATGGGATTGAAGAAGTCCAAATCCTGCCTTGCAGGATCCAAGGTCATCGGACCGACAACCAGGAACCCTGAGTGGTCCTCGGAAACACAACAGTAAACTTCCTTCAGGACTAGGGAGGGGAGCTTTCTCTGGTCCTTGCCTGGTTCCGACTTTGGGTCCCCACCCTCTCTCGAAATGACCATCAGAATCGCTCCAGAAACCCCTCAAAACAAACAAACAAACAAACAAATCTAGAACAGATAGAGAACAACAAGAAAAGCTTAGAATCAGACAGGAAACGGTCAGCATGGATGCACTTACACCTCACTAGGAGGGACACAAAGATTAGTTACTCCTCACTAGGGTATTGAGGATTTCTCTGCACACTCTTCCTAAAACTGTTCACCTAAACTGCTGACATATGTCTTGTTAGAGTTATAGAGTTAGACTACCTGAAAAACAGCCAGGTCCAGCAAAATCATGCTTAACATTATAAACTGCTAAATACTAAAATTAAAACAGACACAAGACAGCTGAATAGTAATCTAGAGCCATTTTAAGGTGTATAAAACCCAGTTGTATATAAATTAATAATTGAAATGTCAATGAAGAAGTCACAGGATGTGGTTCAGAACTTGCATTTTTTTTTAACATATTGTTTATTCAATACCCTGTCAATTAATTCTATAACGTTATAAATTGTTACTGATGTTATGCTGGGGCTTTTAATTGATTGGGATGATACTCTGCCGGCTCTACCTTCAGACCACAGATGGTCTCCCCAAGACCATTGAACTTATCTGGACAGTAAGATGCTGGACTTTATGCTTGGTATATGCTTGCAATGAAAGAATCTCAACTGAACTTGAACTGTGGTAATGCAACAAGGTGGAGGAATCCACCATGGGGGAGGGTTTGGGGAGAGGTGGGGGGAATCCCATCTCTCCTATAAAAACTGTGTCACATAATGCAATGTAATCAATAATAATAAAAAAAAATGGGTGTTGTGTTCACTGTTTCAGAATGCCCTAACTGGTGTTGGCAGCATAAGTTGGTGAGGAGGTATGTCGCTGTAACCAGAATTCAAGAGGCTTCAAGAGGCTCACTGTGCTGCTCCCCCTGCCACAAATTAGCTCTGCAATCACTAGCAAGTTTCTTTGCCTCTATGGGTTTTCATTTTTTCATCTATAAAATATCAGAGCTGCATCTTAACGCTGCAAAATGGTTCTCTTAATGCGGATAGGGCATATTAGATTACTGAAAACTGATTTCATAACTAAAGAATAAAATGTTCCTGCAAAAACTAATCTTTCTGTTTAAATTATGCATGACTGACTCAGACATCCTTGTTTGTCAGCATTACCATGCCACTCTAACCTGCAGAATTTGCAGTGGTCACCCACGCTTTTTTTCTCTTTTCCATTTCTACAATAAACATCACAAGGTCTGAAATAATCGAATAATTAAAAATAAAGTGAATTATGCATCATAAAACTGAAACTTAATCCTTTACAGGGATCAAAGATAAAGACTACTTACAGGCAAAGGAGGGAATGCACAAATGTGCTGGAAAATACTCAGCACTGTTCTGACAGTCAGCATTCTGCTCTATCTTTTGCCCTAGACCTTCTCATTTTGTGAAAACCAGTACAACCTGATTAACTGCAACAAGAGGCAGTATCTTTCCATAATCTTTCCCACCAAGAGATTTGGCACAACTGGTATAATCAACAGAACATTCTCCTCACATCCAAAGTTTGTCTCAGTCATTCTTGAACGGTAAAAAGAGGGCAAAGGAGGAACGAGGAGAGATCCAGCTGGTGGGCAGGGCACTTGGAAAAACGTCTCACAGATGGTCTACCCTTGTCACACGAGAAGTTGTTCCGTACTGCGTTCAGTGTCAAAGCCTCCTCCTCGTTGCTGTCTGAAATCACTGCTGTTTGGTAAGTGCTTATTAGGTACTGGGCCTTGTGCAGTGTTTTACATACACAGCCTCACCCATCCCTTCCTACCTCCTGCAGCAGGTACTGTCATCATCTGTTGCTATGGTTTGAACATGATCCGGTTCTAGGATTTACACTGTAAACCCTAAAGTCTTAAGTTAATGGTACTAAGGAGGCAAAAAAAAAAAAAAAAAAACACCCCACGTGATTTTGTTATTTACAAGGTGGGCCCAGTGGGAGGTCCTAAGTCACTGGGGGCATGCTCTTGGACAAGAGTTCTGACCGGAAGTAAGTTTAAGTAGGTTTTAAAAGTCGAGCCCAGGTGCTCTACTTCCCGGGAGCCACCTGACTTTCCTCCACCAGTGCTGCATCACTGCGATTTAAGTCTTCGGCACCCACAGTGCAGCCCATGGGGCCACCACTCCTTGAACTTGAGCCTCCCAGACTGTGATCTACATAAATCTGATCCCTTCCACAGCACGTCTTGGCAATTTTCATTTTCGTGTGAAGAAGCTGACTAAAATACTCTAATTTTTACAGGTAGGGAGATGTAAGGTTCTGAGAAGTTAACTTTGGCTGAAGGTCCCACAGCTGTTTAGTAGCAGATTTGAACACCCAAGTCTTTTTAAATTCAAGGGCCCAGATCTAATGCATTTTCCTTATGCATCATTGAAGGAGATTTGGACCCTATATTGGGATGCATAAGATCGTTTCTAAGTGGGTATAAAGTATTGAAGGCAACTCACTCACTGCTCTATCCTTGGGGAGTTGCACAGCCTTGCAGGGCCTGGCTGACTCTTTGTGTAATTACTCACGCTTGAGACAACAGAAAGCAGCAACTGGGATTCAACTTGTCAAGGCGTGTGGGCCAGCAGCTCGAGCAAAAGAGGGATGGACAGTGACGTCACAGAGCCCGTTTCAAGGCAGGACCAAAGGAAAGGGAAAGAACATGCTAGAAAGGCAATCAAGAATCAGTATGTGGTTGCTGCTTCAGCAACTCAGAGACCCACATTCCTGCACTGGGGTCGGCCACTGGAGTGACATGGGATTCACCGCCACCTGTAGTTTTACAGGATCCTGTACTTTCCCACATGGGAAGTTTCAACAAAATACTATTCTCAAAAACCAGAAGAGTGATTTTTTCAGTTCTGCTTTTTTCCCCCTTGTTTTAGAAAACACAGGCTTTCAAGAGGGGTTCTGGTTGGAAACATTTAGGATGCTGAAGGAGTTTCTGCGATGCTGTAGTGCAGGTGGATGGCTCTGTTCCAGGCCCTTCTCGCTACAGCCTTTTTCACAATGGCTATTACGTAATGGTGTCATTATTCCTTTAGTCTGTCACCCTTCCTTTAGTCTGTCACCCTGGTTTCACTTTAACAGCTTCATAACGAGGGTCACGCCTGGTGTGTTCTGCAGGACCTGGGTCAGGGCTCGGCACCTGGCAGGGGTTCCCTAAGTCTCTGAAAAAACGAATAGATGACGGCTTTCTCAACACCCAGGGAGGGCAACGTGAATTTGTTTCCTATTACACGGTCACCGGTATCTAACTGAAAGCTTCTGAATTCTCACGGGGCTGAGCCAAAAACAAACAAAGCTTAGGGAAGACGCCGGGCAAACATGGCTCTGCCACTGTGCGTGCGGTTGATTCCAACACGTATCTCAACGGGTACCAGAGGCAAGGAAGGATGCGACAGCGCACTGTAGGCAGCAGACGGCCATAGGCGACTCGGTAATTAGGATCCCTGTTACTATCAGGATGCTTCCGTGGATCAAGCACCCTGGTGGGGCCGGAGGGAGACGAGGGGCGGCAGAGAGATGAAAGGACGGGGCAAGATGGGCACGAAGGACAGCGAGGGTAGGAGGGCGGGCAGACATAAAGGAGGTAGGCGAAGGGAAAGGGGCGCGCCGGGCGGGGGCAGCCAGACTGTACCTTTTGATACACAGCCTGGAGGGCAGGTAGGCCCGGTAGCCGTCGGTGATGTAAGGGTTGTCCTTGAGGGACACGGGGATCTGCTCGTAGGTGTAGAGGCGGATGCCGCGGGGCACCAGGACCGGCCAGTACTGGTAGCTGCCCAGCTCGATGTAGTGCGCGCTCTTGAGCAGCTTCTGATGCATCCTTCTCGGCCGCCGGCGTTCCCGGCTCCGCCTCCCCGGGGAGGGGGCCTGGCCGCTGGAGCCCCCGCCCCGGAGCCCGCGGACACTGCGCGAGGTCCTCCGCCGCCGCGGCTGCCCAGGCCCGGCCCCGCTCGCGCCTCGGCCGCCGCCGTCGCCGTCCACGCCGCGCGGCCCCGGCGGCGTCGCTGCCCTCTCTGACGTCAGCGCGCCGCGCGGCCCCGCCCCTGGGCGCGCGGTCGGGGCGCGGGCGGCTGGAGCGCCGCGGTGCGGCGGCGCGGGGGGTTTCTCGTCAGCGCTGAGGAGAGCCGAGAACTCAGAACCCGACGGGCGCCTGCGATGTGGACTTTCCCCCCCTTTCCACGGATTCAGGAAAAGTAATAGTCGTTGCATCTTGAGAAATCAAAGGGAAAAAAGTCACAGGGTGAAAAAAATACTCCACCACGCCTCAGGTCGGTTTCTTCCTGAAGCCACCCGCTTGGAAGGGGCTTGGGAGTTTGCGGAGCTGGAGGCCACCCCCACGAGGGGCTGGAAGGAAACCAGGACCGCAGGGAACCTGTCCTTGAGCTCCAAGTATTCTGTGAAGAAAGCCCCAACACTTGCCCAAACCCGTTACCACTCTTGAGTATGTTGTTGGACCACGACTGGAAATCTCCTCACCTGTAATAGAAACAGTACATCCAGTAATTCCGCGACTGACGAAAAAAATCAAGGGAAACGAGAAAATCCACTTAACGGAATCAGAAGGCGAGTGGAACACGTCGGGACCTGTGGAGCGCGGCGGCAGCAGTGCTCGGAGCAGACGGAGCCTGGCTTCTGACCGCCTTGCGTCTTCTAAGCACCTGTTCACGATGCCAAGATGGCCGACCTCAGATGGACTCCTTTGGCCCTTGGCAGAAAAAAACAGTGTCTTTCTCTCACTGGTCACTGGGTTCATGGCTGACATTCTCATTAAAAAAAAAGAAAGAAAGAAAAAGTTATTAAAGTTAATGAAGTTTTATATAATGAAATCTTCAAAAGAAAAAGACCTGAGATCAAAAAAGAAGTCGGTTGTGGGGATGACCAGACACAAGAACTTGATCTAATGGAGATAAACTATGGGACTTTCCCAGCAAGGCCTCATTTGGTTTCTCCATGATCTCCAGGTGTAGGTAGGGTACTCCTGGGCTGAAAGGGTTCTCCTTTCAGCCGAGATAGGTCAGCGAATTCCCATACGACTGCTTTCCAAGGAAAGCCAGCAGAAGATCAAAAAGCTACTAAGATTTCCTGACTTGCTTCTGTGAAAGGAATTCTAGCTTTTATCACCCACCTGCAGGAAGCGAAATTCCAAGTTGTTATGGCCTGCTTGGGGAGAACTGAGACAGGAAATGCTGGTGGGAGGTCAAAGGGACCCTGATTCTGAGGCCCTCTAAGTCTCCTTCAGTTCAAGGTAATTGCCACGCCAAGACATTCCAACCAGTTTTTTTTTCCCCTAGGATCTGATAGGAGACAAAAGTCCCACATAATATTTATTATTTGTTATTATGTTAATAGTGTTGATTTTTTGAGAGACAGTATTGCTTGATATTTGGATCTTGGGCTTTGAAACCATATGAGAATTTAAACCTGAGTTTAAAATCTGTTTGTTTACTAGCTGTGTGTGCCTTCGCGTTACTGGACCTTTCTGTGCAAACTTTATTATTGATAAGTAGTGATAAAAGCAGTTTGCTTTCTGAAGATTAACTGCAACTTCATGTAACACTCTTGGAGAACTGCCAGGAATATGCTTAGTACTCGATAAAGATTGGTTGCTACATAGAGGTCAGATAAGCCTGAGGAAAGAAGAAATTAATAAATTAATAGATAAACCTGAAAAGATGAATTGAGCTCTATCTTAAATGGAGTTAAATGTTATATAAACAAAACAATAAGCTGTAGAGTAAACGAATATTTGAAACCTTATGTGCTTGGAACATTATCTTTGTTGAAAATTTCTGGTTACAGGAATTCTCACCTCCTGCTATAGGAAGATCAGGCCTGAGAATTCCTTTCTGACCGTAACACAACTCCTGGAAGCAAGTTCTCTTGGTGATACCACATGGCACTAAGAGCGGCCAATGTAGACCCAAAGGTACAACACTAGCCCTTGATATGTACTGCCACATTTTGACACAAGAACGATGGAGCTAGTTTGGCCAGTTCGCTTCTTTCCTGGGAATTTGGCCAGGAGAGAACCTGTAGCGTGGTATTTAAATCTGAAGTATAAGGAGACCCACAGATGATCAGAAACAGAAAAAGTAGCAGAGGCATATTAATGGATAGGACACCAAAGACCTGAAAAATGAGACTGGTCTTGACCTTCAACAGTTATACCCATGAACCCCGTTGCAAGATGACTGTTGCAAAATGATTGTGATAATTAATAGTCCATTTCAGTTCTCTGGTTCATTCTCATGATTTAGCTTTTATATCAAGCACTTTTTGACATCACACACTTTAAAAAACTATTATTAAATGGACGGACAAATATGAAAAGACAAACATGGCAGAAAATGGTGTCTGAATCCGAGAATGAGAAAATGATCTATGGAAACATAAACAAGAAAGGAAAGAGCTGTTTCACTCAGGTCTGGAACACAATGGACAAAGGTGAGAGAGCACAGATAACCATGAAATTGCAGAGCCTTCAGGACTGTAGCTGTTTAGTCATGGTGCTTGATAGAAGCTTCAGCAGCATGGTAGAGAAACAACAGCTGGTGAGACACCTAAGGGGCACCTGCACCTGGTGATGGGAGAGAGGTCAGGTAGCGGCATCTGGCATGGGGATTTGGTATCTCTGGAAGTAGCAAGATGCAGAACTGAACTGCCCAGTAACAGGTCAAGGAAAAATGGCCACATTCTTTCCTGGGCACCTGTGAAACTCATCCTGGGATTTAGATAGTGTTGAGGTGGTGGTAGGCAGATAATTCTCAATGAGTTGCAAGTCTTGCACTGTCACATGGGAGCAAGTACTAGGGAAATCTGAATTCTTATTGTTTCTCTGAGTCAGTCTGTCTTATACAGATAGATGAGGCTTGGAAAAATTCCTGTGTACCTTCTTTTATAGCACGGTGTTCTGTGAGACTGAGATACGGGCTGTGTAAAGAATTTGGGCTAAGGGAAATGTCCTGCTTCTCCCTTCCCTCTCTCCTTTCTTCCTGTGTGGGTAATTCAGAAATGCTTGCGGGAAAAACTGTAATACACATTTAGAGACAGACATTTGGTAAAGCAATTAAACTTCCATTGCTTGGAAGGCCTACATCCCCTTATCATGGGACCTGGGTTTAAATCCCAATTCCACTCTTTGTTTCCTTTTTTCCCGTTTCCTGCTAACGTGCACCTTTGGAGGTGGCAGATAATTGCTCAAAAGGCTGAGTCCATATCACCTGCATCAGAGATTCAGATTGGATTCTGGACTCCTTATTTCAACCCATCCCAGCCCCAGCTGTTGCAGGCATTTGGGGGAGCAAACCAGCAGATAGAAAGATCTGTCTGCCTCCCTGGCAAATAAACAAAATAAAGGTACATTTATTTTGGCAGAGATTTTTTTTTTATTAAAAAATTATTTAAAAAGAAACATTTTCTCTTTTTTTTAATTTGAAAGACAGATTTGGGGCTTGGCATGATAGCATAGTGGTTAAAGTCCTCGCCCATGCGCTCGCTGGGATCCCATATGGTCATCGGTTCCAATCCCAGCAGCCCTACTTCCCATTTAGGCCTGTGGCCTGGGAGAGCAGTCAAGGACGGGACCCTGCACCCACATAGGAGACCCGTAAGAGCTCCAGGGTTCTGGCTTCGGATTGGCTCAGCTTCAGCCGTTGCAGCCACTTGGGGAGTGAACCATCAGATGGAAGATTTTCCTCTCTGTCTCTCCTCCTCTCTGTATTTATACCTTCCCAATCTTTAAAAACAAAAGAAAGGCAGATTTACAAGGAGAGAGAGAATGAGATCTTCCATCCACTGGCTCACTTCCTAGGTGATCACAAATGGACAGAACTGAGTTGATCCAAAGCCAGGAACTTCTTCCAAGTTTCCCATACGGGCACAGGAAACCTTCTGTCAACCTTTGTGTCATCCTTCACTGCTTTCCACTGCAAGCAGGGAGCTAGAAAGAAAAGTGGAGCAGCTGGGACACGAACCAGCACCTGTATGGGATGCCAGTGCTACAGATAGAGGACTAGCTTCTGTAGCTGCATTTTACAACTCTAACAATGTTGGTGTGAGACTTGCAGGTATTTGAATGAAAGCAACATAGCATTCACATTTACTGAGTTCTCTGAGCCACACAGTTGCTTTTGACATTAAACAAAACAAAACAAAAAAGATGAATCATCCTTGCTTTGCTTAATCTTCTCTAAAGATGTCAGCAGCACAGGCATTTTGACCACTTCTGCACTTTTCTTTACTTTTTGGACCACCCCATGTGTACTGTTTATATCTCTAGCTTATCCATCCCAGTGGCCTTTGATGTTTGCCCGAGCCTTAAAATCCTTTGCCTTTTAAGATTCTTCAAATTTTAAAAATTCTATTTTCGTGGTTTCAATTACTAGCTTCAAGGTTATTACTGTAGAATCTGTATTTTCATACCAATTGTTCTTTCTGTGCATCTGGATGTAGAAACCTAAAATATTGAACATGAATTCATTATCTTTTTTCTAACTCTGTTGCCATCCCTACATCCCTGTTTATTTAGTTTGTTAAGTCACAAATCTTGGAGTCATCTCCTCTCTTAAGCTTATCGGAATAAGTAATGAAATGAAATCCAACAGTTTGTCAGTTCACCATGTCATGTTAAATTTTACATCCACATTGCTAAAGAAAATGATAAAATATCATGGATTGGTATTCTACAAGTTCACTTTTCCATACTACTGGGTATTTTAAATGTTCACCTGGTACTTTATACTCCCATCTCAACTACCAAATTACCTCCTTCCTGTTTCACAGAGAAAATAAACATCCTCGAGAAGGGACTTCCTTAACTTTCTGCTGTATCAGCAAGTTCACTTATACTTAAAACCCATTTCATATTTCTTTTCCTTGTCTCAGGAGAAATGATTACTTTAAACTTTGTATTGAAGGTCCTTTTGTTCTCATGTCACTTATCTTTCTCTGATGAATTCTTTTCCTTTTGTA